GGTGGCAAAACAGCGGACGGAGAGAAAGCAAGAAAGAAAAAGCAAATGTCACCCACACAAATATGGTGTACATAGATGTTTAAAAATTTTTGGTTGCTGTGCCCCCGGGGTTGTTTGCGTGGTTTTTTGGGGGGGGGGGGGGGGGGGGGGGGGGGGGGGGGGGCAACTTGCTTATAGCGCTGATTACCAAAGTTGCAGAGCGAGTAAGGGCACTTTTTGTCATTCCAAGCAAAGTGCGATCGCGTAAAATAGACCCCATTGGGATCATCAAAACTTAAAGGAAAAGTCGTCAAAGGAGATAACGAGGTATATTATTTTAGTGCTGATAAGTTAGGCTACTTTATGACTCAGACAGTACAACCTTTCTATCGATACTGTAAATCAACATATCTTTTCTACTTTACAGATAAGAGTCTCTTTTTATATGGATGAACTTAATGGGGTGAGTGCGCGCTTTCAATCTCACCCGGATGCTGCGGAAGTTGGTTGCTGGAATTGTTAAGCCGGTGGCTAGCTTCCCATTAGGTGAAGAAAAAATTCACAGAACATGAATGAGTGGCATGCAAGCCTCAAGAACCAGCACAAAAACAAGCAATGTCACAATGTATATTTTTTTCCAGGGCTAAAACGAAAAAAGCAGTCAAGGATACAACATCATGCCCGGGGTTTTCTCGTTTTTTTTCTTCCCATGGGAGAAAGCTGGGTCACAGAGTGGGATACCTGAAAAGGAACACTACTACCCTCCTCCGATCCTTGAAAATGCTTTCTTAATCACCGACAAATAGGCAAGGCGTAAATTTTTGCTTTCATTTCATTTTCTTGAAACAGACAAGTTCTCAGTAGCCGCTGTAGTGGACTGTACAAGCCTGGTGAAATCATTTCCGGTCAATTTATACTACACGCTCAACACACAAGCCAACCTTTGATTTCGTTTACCTTAGGTAAATCTTTTGCTCACAGACTTCCCAAAATTCACACAATGAGTTTGTTGGGGTTGCGGAAACCATTGTTGGTTCGCTTTGCGTTTTTCCATTCTTTTGTTTTACGTCATTAGGTGATTGCATCCGTCCACAACACCAAGAAACTACTGGAACGTTGTTGTCCTTGCTTTTCATGATTTAAACAGGATAACTCTATAAAAAGGAAGTGGTTTCATCCATGGTGTTGAAAAAGAGCGTTTTCACATGACGCCACGGCGGCCATATTGGTGTTCCATAACAATAAAACGGCGGCCATGTTGGTGTACCAAGAAAATTCTCATGGAGTTGAACTCCTTTCTCATGTAAATGCTTTAATCTTTTGTTCCAGTAAATTAGCATAGCTGCTGGGCACGAGAGTGAAAACGCTCTATTATGAGTCACCTTCGTACCCAGGGTTTTTTTCATGGTCCCGGGGGACTAGGTTGAATATGAGTCACCAGCATTATCGAGCATTATCATGTCAAGATAAAGTGTACAATTCATTGCCGGACCAGACCTTGAGATAAGGGGGGACCGGTCATCCAGACTGTTAGATAAGGGGGTGGGGGGGAAGGCAAAAATTTTTCGGCCCTTCGGGCCTCATTTTGGTCCAAAAATAAGGGGCCCCTCCCCTGGACCGCCACTGCAGTTATTTGACTTTGTTTGCAAAGTGTAACACGTAACCTTGCCTGTTGCATAATGAAAAGAGAAAAACAAATCTAAATTTCAGTATGTGCTCACTTTCGTTTTCCTCCTTCCCATCAACCCAAATAAAGACGACTAAGGACGAGTCAGGGCCTGCAAGTCAACTAATCAAAAGCTATTGTAATGTATAATTTCGATTTTGTGAAAAAAAAAACTAGCGAAGCGTCTGTAAAGTATATTACTCAGTTTTTCGCAATAGGACGGCAGGAAGAAGGGGATGGCAAACCTTTGTGTTTGACAAACCTAACAAGGCTATTACCTGCGTGTTTTGTCGTGACCTTCACTTAACATTAATGTTTTCTGGTCTTTTACAAAAAGATCTGTTTGAATGAAGGTGAAGCTTGGCGGAAGGTTTTTTTCGAACAAAATTACTGTTACGTTTCTCACACAAGGATTGCCGTCTTCTTTCCTTTCCCGTCCTATTGCAAAAGTTTAGTATTGGCCCAGAAAGGGACGTTTTTCTGTACGTATGCATCAGTTATCGAATTGATTTACTAATTGCAAAATATCCTACAACTTACTATTCAGACCTCACTCTTCCAGTGGATGTTATCAAACTGGATACATGGCAAATGGCAAGCTGACGTTTGTCAAGAGTGCTGCGTGTTCTAATGGACCTCCAAAAGGTGGAGTCTGGTTCCCAGTCTCAGTCACGGTGAACGGCCAAGATGCACAAGTATACCACAGTGGGGTCCTGGTGGCGACCACCAAGCCTCATTTCCCTCCTAAGGCCCGGGGAGGAGTGTTCGCTTATAACGGTTACAAAAATGTGATCCTCTTCAGAAATTTCACAACTGGTCCTATCGTTCACGTCAGCAAGAGATGCAAACGCGTGGTTGACTTGCCAGGATACACTGAAGTGGATGCTGCCCACGGAATTTGGCCGAAAGATGGCTTCTGTCAAGTAGCTTACCTTAGAGACAGCAGTACATCAAGTTATCAGCTCTCAGTCGATATGTACAACTTCATGGGATGGCGAGGAGCCAACTCTGGTCACCTAGGAGTGTTTTTAAACGCCGAAGATCAAGACAACTATGACTTCGTCTATTTTAGGTTTGTTGCAATTTATAGACGCATAAGAGGGAAATTGTCGGTATGTTGATTTCAAACCAGAGCCAGAGCGGCAATCTCAATTTTTCAAAACCATCTTACGACCAGTTCTGTTTACGGAAATGATTTCAGGGTATTAGAAATTCTATAAAAAAGATGGGGAGTGCTGTATTAGCTGACATGCTCGTGACTCGGTTATGCAATAAGCCTTTTAGGTTTAGTCGCATTTCCTTAATTTTACTTATTGTTTCTTTTTATTTCCCAGGCCTCATTCATCCAGCTTATGTTTTCAGACGGGTTACGTTTACAAAGGTCAGCCAAAATTTGACGGAGCAAAGTCCGCCTCTTGCCCCAACGGTCCCCCCAAGGGAGCAGAATGGTTCAACATCAGGGTGGTAGTGTCAAAGAACTCCAATCCTGCCGGGGAAGGGAAGGTCTACCTGAAAGGAACATTGGTGACATCATTCAACCTGCGCCATCCAATCAGAAAACGTGGTGGTGTCTTGGTTGCCAATGGTTACAATAATGTGGTGTATTACAAGAACTTCAAGTTGTTGTAAGGAAGTTTGTTGTGTCAACATAAAGAACGGCTTCTTCAAACAAAGGCTTAATAACAGTTAGATTTAACAGGGTTAAAACCATATACAACTGTAGTGTCGATCACTTGTGGTTAGGCATCGAGGATAACAAGTTGCAGCTTACTTTCAAATGTCGTTGAAAGGATTAAAAAGAAAATATAAAGCCTTTGTGTAAAGCTCTGTGGTATCATTTGTCTTTTAGTGCAACTATAGATCACTATACTATACAGAGGAGAAGTGATGACCTCAAAAAAACAAAATTTTGTGAAAATATGGGATTGGTTAGCATATACAGGAAAAACAAGATGAAAAATGCCCAGCTGCTGAAACTCAGCTCGTTAGTGCAAATTGGTGGTGAGATATAAGTACTGTAATACTCTGATGACTTTCCACTGAATACTTCTAAGATTGACTTGGATCGTAACCGTCCAGGCCTATTTTAGAAGGATTTATAATAATTGAACTAATCAGAGCATAACGGTGTGAAAAAAGAAAAATGTGCTTATTACCACTTTAGGCAAGAATCTGTTAAAACTAACTTAAGAAAATAAAGGTTGTTACTTGCGGCTTTTTACTGTATCGCAGAAACCGCGAGTTACATGCACTTTCCATAATCGGTTTAAATTGGCAAGATAAAAAAAAAAAAAAAACATTTCATCTTTACGGCAAGCTGCAAACTGACAAAAAAAGTTTCAACTCTCGACACGATGTGATTAAACAATAATTCAAAAGATTTTGACTATGAGCGGAAAGCAATCAATCATCAAGCCAGCACGAACGTTAACATATATCACGATGGTCAGCAATAGGTGTTTTTCGTCCCACATAGGTCACAGAGACGTGAAGAATTTTCCAAATGGTATGAAACTTGGCAGGATTGTTGCTTGAGAGATTCTACATTTTTTGGTTGCAGTTTGACAGTCTTGATGGACATTGTGACGTCACAAATAGTTACCAAATTTGGTGCCAAAATTTATAATTAAGAAAATCGTCAGAAAAACCACATAGAGGTGTTCTGTGATCAAAGTGAAGCTTTCCAGTGAAAACCCCCGTTAAAATCCATCAAAACGGGACAAAGTTACAAGCTATTTTGTGACTGACATTAAAAGAAGGAATTTAAAGACTTTAATTGTTTTATTACCTTATATGGTAAAACTTTAGGGAGGTTTCCAGTTCAAGACAATAAATGGAAGTTGAAAGAAAAGTAGCGGATAACACACTGGAGAAAATTTGTAGTTTTTTTAATTTGGGACTCTATAGGTATTTTCACTTGTGACGTCATCAACACGTAAATATGACGTCAACATGGTGTGAAATGACGTAACATGGAACCTGACACCCCATGTCCCAAGTTTAAAAAACTACAAATTTGCTTTTATGCATGGTTCGCTTAGTTTCCTTACTGTTTCGTTTAATAAGCTGGAGTTTAAATACCCCTAAAGTTTAACCATATATGGTTAATTCCATACATTTGGCGGGAAATTTAAATTTCTTTAATTAGCTCTAACTTTGCAACAATTTAACGGATTTAAGTGGGGTTTTCATTAGAAAGCTCCGTTTTTTTATAGATTTTATTTATAAAGTTATTTAAGTCAAATAATTAATTCCAAATTTTAGCGCCATGTTTCAACGTCACTTATGACGTCATGCTGTCAATCAAAAGTATAAAACTACCATCAATACATGTGGACTTTCTTTTACTATGTTCCTGCCAAGTTTCATCGCATTCGGAATATTTCGTAATCATCTATGTGTCTCTAATGAGCCATGTGGGAGAAAAACACCCATTTATGCTACGCCAAAGGTGACAAAATATCAAAGATGCATCTTTATAATTCAAATCCACCAATTCACTATCAAGATCGATAAAATTAACATCAATTTGCTTTTTGAATGTGTCAAGATTGTAGAATTTAATTTCAATTCCCACGTGTTTCATGTCATGTATCAAGAGACACGTTTTCTAAATCAAGATGCATGTTTTTTAAATCAAGAAGGGAGACGACAATTTTTGATCAGTTTTGTTTCCGAGAGGGACTGAAACCGAGCACACAGGTTGGAATTCAAGGCTGGCCTGCACGACTCCTGCAGTTCGCAAATAGATTGGTCTTAAAAGCTTTATATTTTAGCTCTTACTTGAATGTCTTTTAGGGATTTTCCTTTGCGATATGAAATGAGGGGAGGTTCCTTAAAGATGTTTCTGAGATATGGTTGGTTCTGTATAAGGTGCCATTTCCCCATGAGTATGTTCTTGAGGTTGGGCAACTCAGGGTGGTGTTGCGTTACAAAGGGTAGTATTTT